CGGGGCCCTGATGAAATATCAAAACACACAGCAGCGCGAGCGAGCGAGCGCTCCAGTCTCGCCACAACAAACAGAAGTGGCCGGGGTCTGTCATGACGGGAAGCGTGGTCATGAATTATATCACAAACTTTTATGTCAGGACGTTTGAATTACTCAAGTGGTCAGTGTGAGCAAGACATTTAAATTTGGACCTTGTAGGCCTATTTTTAACTCCTGAATTTGATATCGTTACGAAACACTTGAGTTTGTTTAATTTTGACAAACATACGATGACGCGTTTCTTTTTGTATGAATTAATGCATTTATGCAGCAAGGAATTTAAGTGACTCTTATGAGGTGTTAGGGAAGGTCAGCACCTGTCAGCTTGTCTGTGTTGAGGGATCTGGTGTCTCATTTTTCTGTTGACAACATGAAGATTTTTTTTTTTTTTTGCTTTTTTTTGGAGTTAGGTTGAATGCTGTGATGAACTGGTAATGTCCAGGGTGACTCCTGCCTCACTCCTGGGCCCTGGATGGACAGGTTAGTATTCAGAATGGCTAAACGTAAGACTTTAGGTCTGACCAGTTTGATGGTCTGACAAGCATAATGACACAATGGTCATTCAAGTAGATGTTTGTACTTTTGGGAATGTGAGAAGGTACCAAGTAAAATGAAAATGACTCCAGCCACAGTCGATCTCCTTGAATAGTTTTTGTGTCACAGTCTTTTGAAAGCTGCACTTTTCTTTGTTGCATTTGAATTTTTTTTTTAACCTAAACTTTTACCTTCCACTGAACTTTCCATTAATATTGGATGGATCCAGGACTCTGTGAATATCAAGCTTCTTTAGCAACAAACTTTTGTAGCTCAACATCTTTGTAGAGGGTGTTAATGACTGTCTGTAGTGAAATATCAAGGTGGCAGTTTTCCCAGTGGTTGTGTAGGCCACAACTTTTCCAAATTGAAAATGTTTTTTATATGCGTCCTATGTAATCTTCTAATTTTCTGAGACACCACCCTAAACATCTGATGTGCATCAATTATTGTTTTTAATAATAATAATAATAATAATAATAATAATAGTTGTGTTGTATGAACTTCCTTTTTCGAATGAGTTACTGCTATAATTTTCCTTTTCTGAGGCCCTAATTTATTAAGATGAACCTGTACAACTTGATGCGTAATTGAGCCTAATGATGCTGATAGTGAGGAAATTCATTTTCTTGGCCTCAAATCAAGACTCCACAGTGTTAGGCTAGCACAGAGGCAGGAAGAAGCCAAACTAAGGCGATGAGCAGGTGATAAAGGACAAACAAAGCCGGTCAACAGAGTGGAAGAGGATAAAGATATGCTGAGACAAGATTAGCAGGAAATAAGAACTGGATTAGTGGGAGGTCGACTTCTCTGAACAGTAGGATCTTTGGGTTTTCCCTAAGGTGTTTTGGTGCTTGACACTAAGCTTGGCTCTTTATCTTAATCCTCTTTCAGCGACTCTCGGGGGTCCTGCAGGAAGGAAGTGAGGAGGTTACGTTATTTGACCGAAGACATGGTTGGGCGAGCCGTTTCAGTGTGACGAAACAATATAGAAAAGAGAAAGACATGGAAGAGAACATACTAATAGAATAAAAAGTCTCACCTTACGTTTAAGTCATCTGCACGCACAGTTCCATTTATAAGTTTACATACATTCCTCATGGAGCCAAATCTTGTACTAAATTAAAATATTTTATTTTGCCATTTGTTTTTAGTGTTCCAGATCTTCCAACTGTTGGTCCTCGGACCGTTCCTGGACTTAATAACAATTTTATTTTTTTTAACTTAATTTATAATAAACAGCACTGTTCAGTACTTGAACAGAACTAGAAGTTTTAACAGGACAATGATTTTTAACTAACTTCAAGCTCCCTGAACTGATTCTCCAAAGTCCTAAGCTGTATGAAAATTTGTACACACACGTAAGTCTGTTTTGAATACACTTACGAGTGTCCAAAACATTCCAGCCAGAAAAAAAAAAAAAAAAAAAAAAAAGAATGTAATTGGGGGGGAAACTTAATTCAGGGACATTGCTGCTACTTGTGTGTAATTATGAGCACTTTGTATACAGTGAAAAGTAATAAATTAAAATTGTAGACTCGATTCTTAATTTTAAAAATTCCCCCAAATTGTTGGTTCTCTGGGAAAAACAAACAGAAAAAACTGAATTCACATTCCTAAAAGCTGTAATCAATATAAAGCTTATTTTGATGAATGTGATGATGACAGGTAAAACTGTTGTTTCTTTAAACTTTACAGGATCCAGAAGAGCCCAGCAGACAATAAACGAACAACGCAAACACTAGAAAAATGTGTCAGTTTCCCCAAATTTTGGGGAAGGCTACAATGTTTTATTTGAGTGTTTATTAATAGGGCAAGAGTCAGCCAAGCATCCAAGCATACAACATGTTACTCTTTAGCTTTTTACTTTGTTTCACGTTCTGAACGTAAAAGGAAATACAATAGGTAAAACAAAACAAAAACAAAAACAAAACACACAAAAAGATATTTACATACTGCATTATAAATATGTCAAATGTACATCATTATACACAAGTACCAAAGATGGTTGGCTAATGTTGAGACCCAAACGGAAGGACCTTAAAAAAATATGTTCAAAGAGAAACAAAAACAACTTATGGATCAAGATGACCAAAATCAGTTTAGTTCGTCTCTCCAGGAGGAGCTTTCCTTTCGATAAAAGCACTAAGCTAATATATACATTTTATATTGTTTGTTTGGGTTCAAACAGGCGGGTAATTCTAGTGTTTTTTTTTTGTTTTTTTTTCCTTCCTATCGTCTACAGTATGTAAATAGGGTTTCAGGGTAATTGCTGTACATATGGAGCTCTTCTGTCATCCCACTGAGCCATGAAAAAGTCTCAGTGAAATAAGGTGGTCAAGTAATGATCAGAAATAAGGCTTATATCACAGTACAGTACGAGTCGAAAATCCGAGCAAAAATCAGGTGGACATTTGAGGTCTTGAAGGAATTGTTTAACATTTTTGGCAGAAATGTGCTTTTCCACAAGATGTACTCAGTAGTATTAAGGCATCTAGTTAGTACCCAAACATCCAACCAAGCAAAATGTATCCACTTAGCCGTTAAACATGCATATAAGAGAACAACCATCGGGAAAGATAGTGGCACAGATAGAATAACTGTGGCACTACAAAGTCAAGATTGCACAAGAAGCTCTTGACTTATTGTACTCGAGCTGTCTAAGAGCACACCAAAAAAATTACTTTTTGAGTTAATTTTCAAGTTTTAGGAGCATGGCAGGTGATATCAGCAATCCCAGCATTTCTACCAGGTACGGTAGAAATGGTAGGTTATCAGTGTCATGACAAATTAAGGTGTCAAAAATCATCAAAATATTTGAAGCTATTCTGTTCTTAAGGTTTAAATGGTCTTTGTTGAGATGTCAGAGAAAAATGCCTCACTGGCCAGAGTTTTCCTGCTGTAGAAGAAGCTGCTACAGCTTTCCTCGCTTTACAACTATGACACAATTGGCTGTTAAGAAATATTCATTTACTCAAGGTCAAGATAATATGAGGATCTCACACGGACCAGTATCCGAGTTCTAATTCACAAGTTCACATTTCTACTAATTCAAATGCCATTTGTTTTAAAGGAAGAAACTACAAACTATTTTCCATCAGTTCTTTCAAAACATATTGCACTAAAATAGTGCAAGATTCACGTGTCAGGAGGCTTCCTCCAGGGACAACGGTACCAGTTAAGGATTCTTTGCTGCCACCTTCGTATAACACGGCTGTGGTGGTGAATGTGGTGTATTGTTGGATGTGCATGTTTTTGTTGCATCTCAAAATGTAGCTCGATAATTCCTTAATTATTATTTTTTTTGTTAGCCTACATCCACTTTGAACAAAAAAATTGCACATTTACAAAAAATGTCAAATAATTCCTTCCTCAGTTTTGCAAGTATCCTCTTCTGGCCATATAAAAAAATGGGAAAAGTTAAAATCCATAAAGCATCAACATGAGTATTGCAGATACGGTACCTTGTAGTTATTAGCCCTGTAAACAAATATCTTTGCCTTTTTAAGCCAAAAAAATAAAAAATAATAATAATAATAATAAAGAAAACCATTTTAAAATACTTACAAACCAGATAAAACAAGGTGAAAAAAAATCTGTAAAATACTGCACAGTTGTATGAAAGAAAACTTCCCTCTATTAGCCTCTTTCTGATTGTAATCCCTTTTACCGCCTTTACTTCAGTCAAAAAAATGCATTTTGTTGTCTCCCAGCTTTTACGCTCACATGATGTGAGGACAGGAAATCCTAAAGGAAAAGGACAGGGGTCATTTTTTTTCATTTAGACTAAAAGTCTGAGCTAGGTCAAACGGTTTTCATAAGGAATAAGGCAAAGGAACATGAACTACTTTTTACAGATATCTGTACAATGAAACCCAGTTATGTTCCCAAATTTTTACTTTATGTTTATGACTTCTCCACAGAAATGCCTCTGAAGCAGATGTTCAGTCACACACACGCTCGCACACACGCACGCACACACACACACACACGGTACCACATATGTATTTCACAGCAATAATAGCGGATATGATCTCTAGAGTACCAGTTCTACATCTATCAGCCGATCTCCCAGAATCCTGTGCTGTTAAACTGACTGAATCTCTGAAGCAATTACCAACACAATCCACTCAATCTTAAAAGAAATAATAACTCTAACAAAGAGATCGTAATGGTAGAAGTTCACAGTTTCAATCAAACCTTTGAATCTGAATGAATTCTGATTGAAGAGGCACACTCACAAAGCAGTGCGACTTAATAGTCCTAAAACATCATGGCCCTTAATTCCTTTATAGTCACGGACACGTTTACTGAAAGATTGTGCCATAGAAAATGACTCACTCTCACCCAATAGGAATTCTGCAATCAGCTCTTTCTATGATGATCCAAATCCATTTCCCTGTGAATTAAGTGTCGAAATCATTTGGCCTCTTTAACCATAATTGCTTTGCTTTTGTATATGATAGAGTGTTGAAGACATACATCACTGTGAAAGCTGTAACAGTCACTGTTATGAGAGATTAAGTTTCTCCCTGCGTCAGTGTTTTCCTCACTTGTAGAAACTACTTTTTTACTGTTCTGCGGGTTGATGCTTAAGCTTGAAAATTTGAAGCCGTTTTCTGACTCACGCTCATTATATTTCTCTGTTCCCATTACAAAAGGGAAGAGGACGACATAGTAGGAAATGCTCTGAGTGTTAAGGATTTTTTTTTTTCGATATGGCATAAATGCAGAAGGAAGTAATCTGTTTGGTTGAGGCTTCAAAAACATAAATCTTAAAGCTGATCGCGATCATTTCAGACCAAGACTGAATAAAGTTAGGAGGAAAAAAAAAAAAAAGAAAAAAGAAAATATATTTAAAAATGTACAATGTCCAAGCTTGCAGCGCAGGGGAATATCTCCAGTAACTCGATACCTGATATCTCTCCATTGGTGCTGATTCTGGGTTACACAGTGTGAAACAGAGGAAGTACAACAAGTACACAATGAGCGGGTTTGGGTTTTTTTTTTTTTTTTTTTTTTTTTCTTTTTTGTTGTTGTCTGCAGCTAGCTTCTCTCTGGCTTCTACATGATGCTGATGCTGCGGTTGAGCTCACACTGGGCGTTGTTGTTGTTGATGTTGGGATTGCGGAGGCTCACACTGGACGTGGGGACGGAGCTTAAGCTGCTGGAATCGTTGGGGCAGCCGTGCTGCAGCAGGATGTCGGCGCACTCCTGGCTCCCGGCTCGCCGGGCGTAGGACAGCGGCGTTTGGCTCCGAGCGTCTCGGCTTTTCACATCCACACCATACTGCGACAGAAAATGATAGGAAAGTTGGATTCTGATTGCACATCACCCTTTGATCTAACCTCAATATGTTTTTTTCTAAATTCCCATAAGGATTTTGTCTTTCCCTACCTGGTCAACCTGAGTAAATTATTTTATTTAAACCAGTCCATAAGCATCTCACAGGTCCAAATGGAGCCAGTGGAGTTCGGCTCAAATGCTATGATGCTGCTGTACCATTTTATACCATTATACTATACCCAAATCATGGTTTGACAGAAAAAAAAAAAAACTGCAAGCTGATCATATGCTCTTGTACACACAGATGATCAAAATGTAGCATCGACACTGGCGAGGAAAATTCCAATTCACTGCACCTGTAATATTGCAGTCTACTAAATACTGCATCCAAGCCGGGCTTGCATTGCAACGTGCATTGGAGACGTAATGACAATTAGGATTTGATTTATTGTGCAACTCTTACCAGAATCTTACCAGAAAGGTCAGAAATAAAGTTGTGGAGAAGTTTAATACAAGGCTAGGTTAAGAAATAAATTCTCAAGCTCTAAAAATAAATCCATAGTTAAGAAAACAGAGTACAACACGTTAAAGACGATAGATGTTCATAGTAATACACAACTCAGATTGGAGAATCTGGCAACAGGACAAAAGTTAGCTTTGTATTCCAAAAATCTGTGTCATTGCTGAATGAAAACAATAAGGATTTGGAGTTAGCCAGCAGCTTTTCCTGCAACAAACATGAAAGGTGATCTGGTCAGATGAAAATAAAACCTTTTGGCCTGCATGCAAAATATTGTGTGTGGAGCTAAACAAGGGATAATTCCTGTCAGAGACTGCAAAAAGACCAGAGACTGGGCTGGATGTTCTTGTTCTGACAAAAACACCAATTACCATTGCTAACCGTAGCCTTATTCTTTCAGTCTGAGCTTGAGATATTTTGCACAGAACAAAAATAGGCAACAATTTCAGCTTCCAGATGTGCAAAGTTGGTATGAAATCCCTCAAAGACATGCAGCTCCAACTGCAATAAAAAGCGCTGTGACAAAGTAAGAATTCAAGGGGGAACAACAGAAACACAAGCCACATCATAACTCATGTCTTTTTTTGTTTCAATTCACAATTATGCACTGATGCGTGCTTGTCAGTAAAACCCCAATGAAATACATAAAAAAGTCTTAAAGCAAGTCAAAATATTAAAACTTTCAACATTTTTTCAACATTTTTTTTTAACTAAACCTGAGCATTTATAGAAAAATAATTACGATAAGAGTCAAATACTCCGTATTTTTAAGCACACCAACTGCTTGAAGGTGAGAAAGGTGTATATTTTGGAGTAAACAAACAGTGCTCTTAGAAAAAAAAAACTTGTCCTTTGTTTCTTAGTTTTGGCCTGACCTGCTTTTATTCTAATCCAAACTGGTACCTTTAAAAAAAAAAAAAAAAAAAAAAAAAGAACAATCACATCTTCAGAAGTAAACCAAAAGGTCAACCCAATGCCAACCAATGCTGGATGCCCTTCTACACCCCCCACCCCCTGCTGCCTCCCCTCCAAGCTCAGTTGAGCCTATACTCACCCAGATGAGCAGCTGCGTGATGACAACATTGGCCATGGCACACGAGAGGTGCAGCGCAGTGCGTCCATCCCCATCACCGTAAGTCTCATTGACCTCCTCCTTGGTGCCGTGGGCCAGCAGCAGCACCACCAGCCTCAAGTCATCCTCCACCACCGCCCGGAGCAGCTGTTGCCCCAGTGGAACATCCGACTGAGGCAGCCCGACCAGGAACAGCTTCTGCTCGTACTTGGCTCTGATCCAGCGCTCCTTCTCCTCCCTGGAGGGGAAAGACAGCGGGGGTTTCAGGTCAGCCAGGGTGAGACATGCCAGACATGCAATCAGCAATTTCACACCTTGGGTAGAGAACTTTCAAAATAATTTAGAGCCCATGATTTAAAGGCAAAGCCATGTGCAAAACGAAGTGCGGGGACACACAGGGGAAGCATTACAGTAATTGGCCTATGAGAGTCACTGAAGTATTGTGACATTTCTAAATTATTAGGGCACAGGAAAGTGATTTCACTATCACAGCCTACCACACGGGGAAATAATACAGTGAGATCGGATGGAGAGATCGGAAAATGCCAAAGGGTGTGATGCTTTGGGCAGCATTCCAGCCTCCACTGATTACGGCCGTCAGCACGACGGCTCGAGCTCGGCCAGCCTTCTAAAGGTTACACATCTTGAACAGCATGTCTGCTGTAGACAATACAGGAAGGCGGGGGACATATTTTTATCAGCACTGTCGGCTGTCAGTCTGAACCTGTGGATCTCCTCCACAAAAGAGGCAGTGTGTCTCTGGGCCTCAGGCTCCCTTGGGGTAGCTGGGCTCCGAGTCAGATCGATGGGGCTGAATGGCAGCCAGAAAGAGATGGTTGGATGTGGGGCTCCTTCACTCCAGCCTGCAAAGGAGAAAGGCGGTGGAGAGAAGGCTTCGTCCTCTATCAGCAGGCAGAGTTCTATCTTTTGCTTTCTATCTTGACCCCCCAATATCATTCTTCGCCCACATACAAACTGTTCAAATCAGAAGATGACGAAGAAAAAAAAAAAAAAAAATCAATATCAATAAGTGAATGACTGAGCATGCCCAGTGTGGTGCTAACCTGGTGACCCTGTCAGTCGGTCTGATAAGGGGAGCAGAAAGAGGCTGTTGTTTGGATTTGCGGGTGAGTGACAGAAAGGAGAAGGTTTGTGTGAATCAGTTAAAGCGGCGACGCTGGCTGGAGTGACAAGGCTCTCGTGGGACTCTTTATCAACGGGCCAAGGCTTAGCAGCATGTACAACCTGACAGTCTCACTCAATTCAATTGTATTTCATCATAATAAAAGGTGAAAGCGTACCCGGCTTGATGTTGCTAAAACAAAAACATTTGGACCTCCACATTCGACATAATTTACTGTAACTTTATGTGATAAGCCAACACTTTGGATGGGAAAGGAAAATGGTACTTGCTTTTCAATTTTATTTTTAAACTGCGGTGTGCATTTGTGCTCGGCGTGCCAGGGCTCCTCTGCTTTGCAGAATCACTTCAGAAACAGTCAAATTGAATCAAAAGGATCTGTTAACATCAAATTTCAAATCTTAGCACAGATTCTAGGTGTGTGTTTTAACTTGGGGGGGATTCTAATACGTGAATATACTTTAATCAAAACCGGGTTGTCTAAAATGCGGCCTCTGGACAGATTATGTGCACCCACAATTAGAAGTCAAGTACAGAATTACAGCTAAGTTTTTTCTGACAACGATGTGAAATATGCACAGCAACATTTTCAGAAACAACAAACCAAAAAAAAAATATGGAGATTAGTACCCATAAAAACGATGGGTACTAATCATTATTAGTACCCATTATGGGTACTTTAAATTATAAGTAAAGTAGCCTTTACTTATAATTTTAATTATAAGTAAAGTAACTTTTATTTATAATTTAAGTAAAGGTTGTCCTAATTTCTGTTTTTTTGGGGGGTTGTAAACCTTGTTTGGTCCATTTGACTCCAACAAAATATTTTGATCTCTAATCGAAACAGAATACATTTAAATAACCTACTGTTGGTATGTATTTGTTGGATGACAACATTTTTCAACAACTAAATTATTTAAATACTCAAAATCAGCATAGTAAAAGAAAATTAGTTACTGAAACATGCAGCTGGAATTTAGCTCCCCCCCCCCCCCTTTTTCATAAATTTTTTTTGGGGGTCCCCAAAAACGTTGTTTCTC